CAAAAATGTCTTTCGAGGAGGGTTGAAATCTTCTTTTGATTGCAATAAAACTTCTCTAGCACATCACATATTATAGTTATAATTCATGAAAAAGCCCTTTTTGCAATTTTAATTAAAAATGTTTCAAAGTCGTAACGTGATGGAATAATTTGGAAACCAGATTCATATTCAGCATTGAAAAAATTATAAGAACCGACTAGTCTCGTTCTGATGAATTTTTTTTGTCGAACAGAGTGTAATAGTCGCGCAGTCTCGCGATATAATATATTATGACGTAATTTCCGGCGTAATTCTCGGATTATGTAGAAGATCTCGGCAAGATTCAGCACGATTATCTCTTGAAGCTTAAAGCCTGGTAATTTCCACGTCGTTAGTATCACTGCGCGAGTTAAATAAGGGACCTCCTCTCTGTGAATCACACATACGTAACCTAGATATGTATACGCAAGAAGTGAAATCGATTAATACGAGTGTTCCGTGAAGAGACAGTCATCCCGGATATCGCAGATATCGGACAAGCACTCGCGCGAGAACACGGTAGTTCGAGTATTATCTTAGAGCGTTTTACTAAAAACATGGATTTCTACCCTTGCTCTCCTTTCGACCCGACCAAGTATCGAGTATCGGCAGAAACTCGCCAAGAAACTTTTCCGATGAAGCAATTATTTCACCTCCGAAACATCCAAATTTACTGTTGATCGACATACCGATTGCACGAATTTCCCAATCGGGAACGAAGCCAGGAAGATTACACGGATCTTCTACTCGCGCGCGACGATTTGGCGTTCAGGGTATTCAGCAGACTCAATGAAAAAATTTCCTGACTTTTTCAGATTTTCCAGCAAGACCAGAAATTCATTTTTTCCCCGATTTTTTAGTATTATTTTTTCCAAATATATCTATGTGATAAATCAATTAAATGTTCAATCCTTGAGACATTTTTGTGAACAATGAAAAGTTTCGGAAGTTGAGTTAAAAATGAAAAAATTTCCTGATTTTTTAGTATTATTTTTTCCAAATATATAATTTGCATATTATCTGTATGATAAATCAATTAAATGTTCAATCATGAAAACAAAAATTTAAATCAATTATACAATTTGCAATAAACTATTTAAATAATCTTTTTTATTTATGTTATATCAAATTTTATTTTTAATATAATATATTCAATGATATCTAATATCACAACAAAATTTTTAAATAAAACTTTTTTAATAAAATTAGTGTATTAATTTTTAATAAAAAATGAATTAAAATTAAGTTCTTGAACAATATTATAATATATTTTGTAATAGATGATACGTTGAAATAAAATAACACGACGATGAAAATATAAATTAACGAACGATTTTTAACACAGAAAATTAGCGTGCTTGGAGTCAAGGAAAAGTTTATATTTATTGAATAAAAAATTTCAAATTATTAAGACAAATGCAGAATAACGTAAAAAAATCCAGATAAATAGTAAATAATTTCCTGAATTTTTCCTGACAATTCCAGATTTATAACATTCCCTGAATGACCCGGTTTTTCAGATTTCCCTAACTGCTAGACACCCTGGCGTTGTATACATCCTTGATTACATATATAAAGCGGCAGGATTACGGCCTGCACGCCGTTGTAGTGAGAATTAATTTAATGGAACGGACGCCATTTGTAAATAAATGTATGCGATAGTTATAATTAAAAGCGGCCGCTTGTTATATCGCACAACATGAATTATTCCCAGATGCAAAGAGAGAGAGAGAGAGAGAGAAAGCTCACTAATGATCACTGACCGCAATGTAATTCCGCTGATTCCGTCGTTGCTCGTAACAATAGATCGTAATAATAATAGAGCTGGAGACTGTTTCTCGGTCTTTAAAATCACTCTCGTCGTTATTCCGGGAATGAGGAAAAAGCGAGTAATCGTGATATACAGATATCCATAAACCTGTTTTGGGAAATAGACGTTCCTGGCGGCCAATTTATTATTCTTATGCAAATAACTGGGCGAAGATTAAAGTTCAGGATATATAGTTAGGCGCATTAACCGAAACTTAGCGGCAAGTCACTTGCAACAAGGTGCTCGCAGAACCAGACCATGTTAGCCTATCAAGTAGTTGGCTGGCAGAGCCAAAACTTACCCTGCCGATGTATTTAGGTGATGTAAAGGAAGCTATCCGTAACTCCCTATACAGCTATACAAACTTAGAAATTTCGCGTTAATCGGGGAAAATATTTCTCTCTTCGCGTTAACTTCCTCAAGTCTTTCATAATAAATATAAATATACCTTTGTTATATTTCACGTCAAAAAGACTTCGTAATACATTAATTTGCAGGCAAATGCAATTAAACACAGAGGAAAATAATTCATTTTTCAAAACAAAAATATTCACGCATACAAGAGGCGACTTTTTTCTGTTATAAATAAAAATTAGTCGTGCTTAAAGAGGGATATGCTCCTCTAAAGTTATTAAGATAATTGCTCCTCGTGGTTCCTGCGTTTATTCAAGTGTAATCGAATTCATAATTTCAAAAATAATAAATTAATTTTTACAAAAAAAAGAAAAAACCTATTCTAATGCATTTTAATAATAATAGATCGGAAAAAATGTTATTTAATAGAATATTATCAATTAAATATATTTTTGGGACATATTACGTGTTTGTTTGCTTACTTGAATGCATTTTCGCGTATTGAAAGCTCTTATAGCTTTTCTATTAAAAGCTTTATTAATGGCAGTAAAATTTCCGTCTAACTGCCTTAGGTAGCGCGACATATTTATGCAACGTAATTTCGTCTATGAAATGCGAAGAACTTCGGGATAGCATGTGAGCCAAGGACAATTTAATTAGCAGTTCATAAGATTATTAACTTCACTGTCACGCGTGTTTAAAGTGAAATTACGACTTAATTGCACTTTAACGACTATGCGATATGCGAGATTGGTAAACTGATATTCCGAGTTGAAATTTTTTTCCTATTCTCGATTTCAATTTGTAATCCAACGTTCTATTTTGATACTTTAAGCAAGATTAAAGCATCCTTTTTTAAAGCTGTTTCAATCTGTAATTTTGCTCGTTTTTTTTTACCTTGTAAATGACAAACTAGTTAGTTGATAGTCTATCATAGCAATAATTGAGATACAAAATAGAAACTCAATTTCTATATAAATTAAACCTCGCAATCAATTCCCATATAATTAAACTTCGAAACCCTTTCGATTATATAAACATGAGAAAATTGAGATTGAAAATAGGAGTAAAATTTCAAATCGAGATGGGTTAGATATCGAATAATAATATGCATAGTTAATATTTAATGGCTTGATGAAGAGGTTTGATAACCTAATTATATATAGCGCGAACTGTTATAATAATTAATAGGATCGTATATAATGAGCGCATTTATATCTTGAAAAATCATTAAATAGATAGCCGTGTATGAAGATATATTGTCGAAATAGTTATATTCGGAAATGAAAGACACAGTCCAGACAACACGTGTTTGGCGATGCATCTGCAATGTATTTCGCGTACATTCGATGCATTTGTGTATATTCCACTGTGTACAATTGCACTCGAGTGGAATGCCACTCCGAACGAGAGGAAGAAACCGAGTTTATCTTATTTACCGGCAACAGTAAGGAGGATATCTCAATTTTCCGTTTCAGAAAAGTTTCTGAAAAGCGCGGTCTAGCCTAAAGTTCAAACAAACGCAAAGTTGAAATTTTTCTCCTACTCTCAATTTCAATTTTCAACGTAACATCCGCTTTAAATATTTTAGGCATCCTTTTTTCACAAAACTATTTAACTTCTTACAAACTTTTACTTACAATAGAACCGAGAAATTCTACTCGAGGTGGAATTTCGCACCTCTTTACTATAATCTTTAATTATTATAAAAAATAATTTTTTATATTATATTATATACATAATTAGATAAATAACTTCTCTATATTTTTTTATTAATATTGAATTTGTGTAATAATTGCTAATAATATTTATGTTAATTAATTTATTCGAAAATTACAATAAGGTTACAGAAAAAAAATAATATAATAGAATATTTGATTGAATAATATTTAAAAAAATTGCAAAACTCTTGAAGGAATATTAAAGTAGAAGCAAAATTTTAACTCAAATATAAAGAATTTTTTAAATTATTATATACATAATTATAAAAATAATTTCTCTCCCTTTTTTTATTAATGTTGAATATGCGAATGAACGCTGAGAATTTTTATGATAATAAATTTAATCGAAAAAATTGTTTTACAATAAGGCTAGAGGAAAAAAATCAGAATATTTGGTCGAATAATATTAAAAAAGATTGAAAAAAATTCTTTAAGAAATATTAAAGTAGGAGCAAAATTCGAAATCAACTCAAATAGAATTTCGCCGTCTTAAGTAGAAGGTATAAGTTGAATAGTTTGAAAAGAGGGTAATCTGACTTGTTTAAAGTATCAAAGTAAATGTTAAACTGAAAATCGAGATCGAAAGTAAGAGAAAAAAAATTCCACTCAGGGTTGAGTTTTATTACGTACTTTATTACGCACGGTGTAAAGATTAAACGAGTTATCCTACACTTCTTTAATATCCCCTCGCGAATACCAACGAAGAGTTTCCAGACATTTACTCCCCAAAAGCGATCGCGTATCACGGAATAATTATTCATACTCGCGGAGAGAAGTGGAAGACTCTCTCTCGTAGAATTCTCGATATATAAGCCACTTCTCAATCTTCTAAACGGCTTGACTTTACGATGAAGTTCGCGACTTGTTAGCTGCAATTCAATACTTTCGCCGGGTCTCGCGAGATCGTACGAGGTTTTAACGATCCGTCACTTTTTGCCCAATAATAGCCTGTCTCGCGAGATCAGAGCAAAAGACCAATAAATCAACACGTTGCCATAAACGTTGTACGACGCTCTGCATTTTTCTTGGACTTTTTTTACTTTTCTTTATTTTTTATGCGACACATATATTAATTTATTATCGATTTATTTTTTCAGACGAAAGAGCCAGAGATCGATCAGAGAAAACCATATCACACTTTAAGAGGAACTGTATATCTTGGTGGTAAGTAGAAACGTTTGAATGATTTATTGATACGAAATAAGTTATAATTGTGAAAGGAGTATAGAAGTAACAGATAATTAAGTGACAGTTTTCGATCTATACGCAGAGAGAATTTTCTCTTAGAATTTATTCTGAAAATCATGATAATCATGGGACAATATGATATTGAAAGACTTTTATTAGGATTTCTTTGATTAATATTTACATCACAATAAAAAATATGAATATCCACAATAAAATATAAAATATGTTCGATTAATTTTATTACATGCATAGTAAAATTTATTGCATACATATTTATATTTTTAAATATACATATTTTTTATTGTGGTAAATATTAATCAGAAAAACTCTTATACAAATTCTTCTAGTATTTTATTGTCCCACGATTACCATGATTTTCATGGTAAATTCTAAGAGAAAATTCTTTCTCATGTATATATACATTCTTGTCTTAATTAAGTTACTATTAGATAATTAAATTATTATGTATAAAAATAATATTTTCATTTTGCAATCATCAGTTGAAATTCCATATATAATAAAATAGCTTTCAATAAAAATAAAGCCATGCAATAGTGCATGAAAGTGCGACATTTTAGGCATTATCGCATGCAAAATGTATATATATAATGTAGCTTACCTTTTAAACAAAACAGCTGCTGAAATTTAAATATTTAAAAAAAATTCAAATTTCTATAAAATTTTAAATAATTTTTCTGGATAGTTGATCCATTCATAATGTTATACTGTGCAATAAGATGTGTTTCAATTACCAAATAATAATTAAAATTTATATATAGCATTAATAATTTGAGAATTTTTAAACACACTTGAAATTTTGTTAAAATATGAACAAAAAAAGCAATCTTATTTTATAATCAAATATTAATAAGATATAATTTTAACAAAGATACCACAATTTACTTTATTATATTTTCGTATTTTATTAGGCTAAAGGATATATCAAAAATTCAAATTTCTACAAAATTTTAAATAACTTTATAGTTGATCCATTTATAATATTATACTGTGCAATAAGATGTGTTTCAATTACCAAATAATAATTAAAATTTATATATAGCATTAATAATTTGAGAATTTTTAAACACACTTGAAATTTTGTTAGAATATTAACCAAAAAGCAATCTTCTTTTATAATAAATAATCAATAAGATGTAATTTAACAAAGATAATATTATCGCAATTTACTTTATTATCATATTTTCGTATTTTATTAAAGGAACATTTACTCCGACATTACTGAAAAATGTCCAGTAATAAGTAAGGAAGTAAACGTACATAACTTCTTTAGAGCCTGATGCATATTCAAATCCAGAAATGTTCCACGCGAACTCGCGTAGATAATTATCATCATAAATTACAGCCACGCTTGTGCGCGAGTAATATCTCAAGTAACCGCAGTTTGTTATCTCACGAAGATACATACGTCTATGTACATATACATATCGCGCAACACGCGGGTGTTGCTCTCCGATAACGAATCCGCGTAAAAATATCGCGTAGGGACATGACTATCTTCGGGAAAAACATCGAGGGACAGTACAGTTATATCTCCGATTTCGTTCGTGACGTAACAAAAGAGGCATTCCCTCGGAAAATGAAATAGCCGCGTAAAAAAAGAGGCCGCCCACTTTCATTCCTCCACAATCTCGCGGTAATTACATCAAACGTCGGTACAACCGTTCGTCCTTCGTCGATGTTCCATCTCGCCCACCTCGAGAGAACGAATTGCTCGAACGAAATAACGAAGTTGAGCGTGCTCAAGCAGCTGCTTTATTAACTTTAATGCAAAACGAGTAAGTTCGGTCGCAAACGTCGCAAAGGATCCCTAGAGGGTAGGCGAGTGTGGGTGGGTTGGGTTCGGTGTAGGTCGGGAAAACGCGATCGACGAGTGGAGACGGGTCGTCCCAAGCGGAAAGAACGCGCGGCGTTTGAGTTTGCATATAGAGGGTGATTGTGCGGCGCAAGAAATATCGATCCCACCCTCGCGCCAAATTCTCGCGGAGCGTAACCAATTTTTTCACATGTTAACCCTCCCGTAGGACATCCCGCGTATTTACCGGCGCCACGGGACCATTTCGCGCCGTCTTGATTATCGTAGTAACACGAGCGCGACCGGCTGCCGACAAAGCTGCTTTCCGATTCAAACGAGATTTAAAGAAAAAAAAAAAAACGCGATTTTTTCTGAAATATCGTTCCCTACGCGCGGTTCGTGCGAAAAACTTGTCAAAGAATCTTGACTCTTGCAATCGTCAAAAAATGTCTTATTATTTTATAGGATTGATTCTTAGATAAATTTTGTCAAAAGACGAAATCGATTTCATAAAATAAAATTCATTTATATATTTCTTTATATAAAACGTAAGAAAAACAATCGGGGATATTTAATATGCAAAATACTGAATATTGGTATTTTTATATTCAAATGCATATGAATAGTTCAAGTGTCTGCGAATTAAATGAAGACCGTCATAGTTCTGATTCTTGACAAATTCTTATTTTTTCTTAAGTAGGGTTCTTTTTTATAAGTACTATTATATTTGTATACTTTCGAACGATTGCTTAAAATTTTTCAAGTACCTATATGTGTTTTAGCGCACAAGCGAAATTTTTAAATTGTTGACCTTTTAAATCTCTTGACCGTTAATAAAATATTCTTTTATCTTAATTTTAAAATAAAAAATGACTGATCGCACTCACCGATTTGTGCAGCAGCGGCGGATTTGCAGCACGCAATATTGATCTGTAAAATAAGAAAATATATTCTAATTAGAATACAGCTTAAAATAATTAATGTTTCAAGAAAATCAGATCAGATATTTAATAAATAAAATTATATAATTTCCGAAAAAATTTTGATTCATCTTTTAATAGATTACTAAAACAATTAAAATAAAATAAAATAAAAAATCTATATAGTTTTTACATATAAATAATCTAGATAATTATAAATCTTAATAATTTAAATGTGTACATTGTATATAGATATATATAAATTATTTTTCTTATATCGCATTATGTAAAATAGATCACTATCGTCAGCGCGTACATAAACAAGCAATCGATTTTGCAAGTAATAAATTAATGAAGTTATAAATAGTTTACCTCACGATTGTTCCGCCGTTGCCCGATGCTACTCCGAGCATCTTCCTCCTCTCTTTTGTTGACTCTGCTGCTCCTTAATAAGCTTCTAAAACAAATAAAATAAAATAAATTAGGTTAAATTAAATTTAATAAAAAATAAAAATAAAAATAATGAACAATAAATTAAATTAAATTAAATTAAAATCTAGTTTTATATGAATAATATAGATAACTATAAATCTTAATAATTTATATACATATATGTATATAAATTACAAATATCTTATATTCAAATAATATTTTCTGAAATGGAAAGGAGAATATCTTATATCATAATACATAAAATAAATCACTATCAACAAGCGTGCATATAAATAAGCAATCAGTTTTATGATAAATTAACTTATAAGTAGTATAGCCTGCGATTGTCCCGCCAATGCCTGATGTCATCCAAAGCTTTCTCTTCCTCTCTTTTGTTCACTCTTTGCATGCCCCTTTATAATACTTGCGAAAAGACAATTAATTACGATCGCGCGCGCATATTAATCAACAAAATACGACATTCACGGGATACTTGGCACCAGTAAACACGACGTTAATCATACACGACACGCACTTTATTATATTGCGACGTGAATAGAACGCGAAAAAACACGGTCGCGCGAAACTGCGATTTAATTAAAAATTATCATTAATAGTACATTAATACGAAAAATAAGTGTACCTGTTAACGAAGAGATACGATACATCGATTGTTTATTAATAATGCGTTCTTTTTTTTTGCGGATTTATGTTAAATATCTATTTTACTAACGTAATATCCCGTGGTATCAAAATAATGAACGATGTAATTTTCGATCATTAATAAAACATCTTAGATAAATTATTATAGCTCGAAAGTCTGTTACACGACCGTTTTCTTTCGTGTTGCGTTTTAATAAAATATACATCGCATTACGATTAACGACGAGAGTGCTGTGTAAAGTATTTGCAAAATGATTACCGTATTTTGCTAATTAGCGCACGCGCGATCGTAATTAATCGCAAGTGAATGAAGAAGCAGCAAAGGACAGACAAGAAAGGAGATCCGGGATGGCAAGCAACCGTGAGATAATTACTATTTACATAAATGTGCAATATAAGAATCTTTCCTCTTTTTAGATCCTTTTATCTCCGATATTTTATACATTTTGAGACATGGAAATTGAATCTAATTGAACAAAAAATTATTTGTGTTCCGTTTATTATATAAAAAACTTAATATTAAAAATCCTTAAATATTAAATTTGTAAGTCTTAAATATATTTAAAAAATATTTATTAATTTAAATGTTAATATGATATAAAGCGAGAAAGAAATATATAATTAGAGGGAAATATTTTTAAATTATAATTATTTATTATTAATTCCTTTACGTATTTAAAAATTTAAGAAAAATGTAATTAATTAATATTAATATCAATTTATCAATATTAAATAAAAATATTTTAATAATTTATAATTTTATTAATCCAATTATAATTTTAAATTAGACAAAAAATTCTATAAGGCAATATATAAAAATTATACATTCGCTTGTTTATCAAAAATATGGATTATTGAAAAATATATATTTCAAAATTTGTTTTGTTCAATAATAGATTAATAAATTAAACAGCCGCAATATAATAATTATGCTAAGATAGCCTAATCAATTGTTTTTAAATAAAGACTAGAGAATGAAGAAATTAATAAAATATAAATAATATTGTGCTTAAATAAAAATTATAAGACTAGATCTTCTATAGAATTTTTATTATTTTTAAAATTAAGAAACCTTTTAAAAAATTAAAAATAATTTAAATTTATATTGAGAATTAAGTGGATTAATTTATTGAACTTTATAATCTTTAAAGTATATATATATATGTACCTATATAATTATACAAACATTCAATTTCTAATAAATTTTTTTTCATAAAAAATTGATTAAAATATTAATTACTTTAAGGACAATAGCGTTATTTTTTTATAAATATATTAATAAAATAATATTTGCAACCTCGATATTGATTTACAATACAAATTTTGATCAATATTTTAATCTGTAAAACTAATAAAAATCTTGTATTCAAATTCGTACAAGGTAGATGAAACTCTATCTATAATAATACAATATTTGACTAAAATATTTAATAAAGTACATGTGTGTGCATGCTTCGAATTATGATAGCGTGGAACGAAATAATCACCGTCAGATATATTATATTTGAATAATACGACAATCTGATAATTATTTAATTATGGTTGACATTATACACTTATTTACAAAAAAGATATTTAATTTAATTTTCCGAGAAATGTATTAATACTCACTCTAATAATAAGCTATTATTGAAGCTGTCAAACTTGACGAAACCTTGCATAAACTATATTGACGCATAATATAATCGATCGCTCGATACTTTTTTCGACACTCCCGATGCGACGATTCAAACACTCCCGATGATACTATTCAAACACTCCCGATGCTACATTTCAAACATTCCCGATGCTCCCGCTACATTTACTTCCACGGCCGATATATTTATTCGCGATATTTTATCATTTACAATCGTAATTACGTACTCGCGAATACGATGAGATGATATAACTATTGTTTGCGTTGCAAGTATAATTGCTGGCGACCGTCGAAAATCGTGAAAATATCGTAAGACGGAATCACTGATCGCTGCAATTGACGTTGCGAATGTTAATTGTTATAATCAATCATTACATTATGATACCGAGTCTTTCGACTCGCAGTATCACGAGGTAATGATTGATGTGCAACAATAACGTTCGCAGCATTGGTTGCGGCGATCACTGACTTCGTTTTTCGATATTAATCATTCTCGACGCTCGAGCGTGATTACACTCGTAACGCAAACAGCACGCGGCACTATAATAAATGACAGCGTGCCGCGCGCGCGGTAGACGCACGCGCAGCGCCATCTCGACTTCCGGTTCCGCGGCTCGCGATGACAGCCATAATAGATTCGCGCGCATTTACAAACTCGGAATCGCGGAACTGGACTGCAATGCTCCAGCGGAATTCAAATTTGAGAGGTTTTGTAATCTATGGCGCGCGGTTATTTCTCGTATCAAAAGTGTACGTAAATTAAATATCGATCGATTATTTAACGAGTGTCGAAGCGGAAGCAACTCATTGTTGTAATTAATGCTATCATCGTTACAATTATAATTATATACGGTACTGTATATAAAGTATTATATCCTAAACATTATTTGGTTGGTTAGATTCGATTTTAAATTATCGATAATAAATGTACGATATAAATATACGATATTAAATTATTAATAATAAATATTGTTTACAAGTAAGCATGTTATATCGAAAGTATCGAGGAATGAGATTTTATGTTATGTGCAAATACAGTATTACACAAATAAAAACAAACGACAATTCTGTTAAACAAATTTTGCAGGCTAATAAACAAGTTTTAAATCTCTGTTCAAAAGATTAATAAAAAATGTCTTTATGTGTAATGACTATTTCGTGAAATATTAATTATTTTGAACTTTATATTCTCTCTTTCTAATTTAAATATATTTGTATTTTACAGATCAATATATTGTCTACAACACCTTTATTATTGTGCATCGTATCGGTGAGTGATTTAATAAATTATTTTTAGTTTAAGGATAATGTAGATTGAGATGATAAAAAATAATTTATTAAAAATCAAAGAGAGCCTGGAAGAGCTCACTGTAATCTAAAACTTTGTTCATATATATGCAAAAAATGTAAATTAAAAATTTCTGGCGATCGTCCAGGTTTTCTCTTATATTCTATACATAAATAATATTGCAATATTATAAAACATTCTTTTATTTGTAATATTTATTACGAAATAAATATTAATTCTAAATTATAAAAATTCCAAAAAATGATTTACAATAAGTAAAAAGATAAATAATTTTTCTAGCTCAAAATACCATCATTCATGTTCTTTTTATTTAATTTTACTTAAAAATCGTGGATACTGAATAAAATAAATCACAATTTAAGTTAGATTTATGAATTTGCATAACACTTGAAAATATTTCCATGCATATCTGTCTATGTTAACAATAAGTACATCGATCAATATTTTCATATTCTAAAAAATGAAACAAAAAATATTTATTTTGTAAATATATTCAATTTAATATTAAAGAAGAAAACATTTACTTGTCTGTGAAAACAAACAAACTTTTATTTACGGATATTTATTAATTTGATAGTAATGGGATTAGAAATATAATCATTGGTACAGTTACATATATGTATGTCGGGGACAAAAAAAACTGAAACTATGTACAACGAATTAAAGACAGCGACATAAAAAAAAGTATAAGGGCGCAAGTAAAAAAGACATAGAACGAGCACACTGCGCCAATTTATTGATAAAAGCAACCTCCACGAGCAGTCGCTATCGATTTTTTATTGCTAGTTTTCCAAATAATTTTAATGAAATATTGGAGAAACTGGTTGCGGTTCGGTCGAGACTGCTCTTTTCTCTTCTCTTCTCGTGCCCGCATATCAGCTAGTTTGTGTATCTCTTTTACACACTGGCTGGAATTTCATTAGTTCAAAGCAGCTTTGTTGTTCGATCGATTGTCGCGGATATAAATCATTGAGGGAAAATACCAAAAGTTTCAAAATAATTATGATCTTAATATCACCATCCTAATTAATGAAAAACTGATGCAAAGATATAAACAAAGTTGAATTTCTCTCCATTTGAACGCGAAAGAAACTTTACATTATTATTAATAATTGATAAAATTTCATTTCCTCCATGAAATGGGAAAATTATGCAATTATTGAACTTTGATCATGGAAATATTTCTGAACTTTTTGAAGTTATTAAAGCGCCATTTATTCTCATATATATGTAATAAATGTGTATTAATTGCGTAACATTGTGCGTTATTTATTCCTCGTGAAAATAATTTCGTTGCATTGTGCCAAGTCAAGTGGTTTGATTTGAAATGAAACTGGAAAGTTTCGAAGAGGTGTCAAAAATGCCAGATTAAAATACTACATTGTAATTGTTGATAAAAACATGTATACGACATAAATGATAACAATGAAATAAATGAAAAAGCAATTACGCGAATTTTTTAAATTCCTGCGAGAGAGTATTTATATTACACACATAATGACACAAATTTTTAAATATAATATAATTAACAAAATACATCCCACTTATGCAGACATACTGTAATTTAGTGTTATACATATATGGAAACATCCGTTTTAAGCTTAATACATTTGAAGCTTTTCAGCTTTAAATAAGATGTGACAGAACTTCCTTTTAAGAGAAATGTATTTCGTTAATAAAATACACATATATGTGTGATCCATTAAATGTATTAAATTACATTTAAGTATAAGCGCTTGAAATATACTGCTAAATCTCGATGTTTCTCTTACAGTTCCCGAGGAAATTAATTTGATATCAATTTTAATACAAAAAAAACTTTAAACGTTTGTAAAAAGAAAAGTCGATGAATAACGATGAATTTCATGCGACAACGGATAGATTCATAATGTTTACATTTCCCTCGATAAATTTGCGGCATTTATGTGCCGTCCATCCATCCGCATATTGTACGCTACGTTTCCCCACATAAATCTCGCCGTTCGTAACTTAATCACATTGGATTTATCACATAGTGCTCGCATCCTTGTTTGTGAACGATAAATCGTCCGAATTGCCGCATCAATAGACTATAAAAAATGATGCTATTATATTAAGCATATATTTGCCTTATTAGAATACATAATTTAATTTTACGAGAATTCAGTAGAATTGAACAAAATGTCCGTCAATGATGCTTGCCCTTATTTAGAGATTGATTCATCTTTGTCTGTTTTTTTTTAACATTTAACAATTCAAAATATCCATTTACATGATTCTGTAATCAAATTGAAATATTAAACTCAGTTTAAAATTACATACTGTATATGATCTGATTCTCATTTCGCGCGCGTGCGAGAGAGAAACAAAAACTCCCTTAGCTTTCATTATTTCCAAGTTAAAAATTGTTACTGGTTCCATAATTATCGATAATTGAAAAGAAAAATCTTTTCTACTTAAATTGATAAAAATAATTGTTTCAAATGTAATGTGAAGAAACTATGAGTGAGAAAAAGCTCACTTGCTTTGCAGGGTAAAACACTTTTAATTCTCTCTCCGTCCATGAATAATTTACAATACTTATTACAGTAGATTTGCCGGGAAGAAAGGAGACAGTTTGATATTCTCCATTATAGACATCGCGAAAGATGAACGAAATACCGCTATGCTAAAAGCGACGGAGACAGTAGCTGTAATCTGACAATGAGTGACAACCACGATGGCAATCATGTCGGACGTCAAGTAGAATAGGTCCCGTTGTAGCAGCCTTCCACCTAGGTAACTACAGCGAGGCCAAAGATTATGTAACTACCGTAACAAAGCTGACACAGGCGCACGATGCAGGAACAAGGGTCGATTTAAAAATTCAAAGCCAGCGTTACTAGTCACAATTTATCAAAATTCACCAATTATTTTTCCTTATAAAACATCGTCTCGTTGGAACATTTTTTAATGAAGATAAAAAACACGGATTGCGAAATAAAATTATCATTATATATATATTAGGGTGGTCGTTATATAGGTTTTTTCAAAATTTTAATGTTGGATGGTCGTAAATCAGCTCTAAATGTAGAAAAAAAAATCTCTAATTTTTTCAGATTTTTATTTTGAGTCCTGAGTCTCCCTGTTGGCATGTCATTTTATTAATAATTTTATTAATACCACAGTTCTGCAGCTGCTTCTGTCATCAATTTTTGTTGTAAATAGTTTGAAATTGTAGTGAAAAAAAAGTTGAAACTATTTGAAAATACCGAAAATATAGTATAAAATAATATAAAATAGTTAAATAATATAAATAGCGGAATAGCCCATATAATATTTATGACTATCTTTTATGAAAAATTAAATAATTTTGTTCACTACTTTTGCAGCTGACTCCATCTAGAACTGAAGTATAAATTAAGTATTTTTTCAAATTATAAAAAATATAATATAAATAATATTTAAATAACATATAAATGAATAAATAAATAAACTGATATAAGAATATAACATAACACGTGTAAACAGGGAGACTCAAGGCTGAAAATAAAAATCTGAAAAAATTAGAGAATTATTTTTTCTGCATTTGGAGCTGATTTATGACCATCCAACATTATGTTCAATTTAACGACCACCCTAATATATATATATATATTTTTTTTTAACAATTTAATTTTATAAAGCTTTATTATTGGCGCATTATTAAAAAAGTTGGCAGAGTAGCCCATGTTTTGACTTTCCTCAATTCTTAGCTAACATCCGCTGCATCATTCGTTTTTTTTTATCGCCTTTCCGAGTCTATTCGGGTTCCCCGACCGGACTGTATATGTTATAAAGTTTAAGCGACAAGCTTCCCCGTTCTCTCTCGCGATCTCCTTTTCCATCGAGGTTACGAAGACACCCTCTTACTACTTTCTCGACTTTCATCGCGTTTTCCCGCCCGTTTTATTCCCTTTATTCCAATCCAAAGAAGCGGAGTTAGATTCTTTCGCGCGCAACGGCGTCGAAAATATCATTATTCCAGTCAAGAGACTCGATTAAACGAATCCATTCAGTCCCTCAACTTCTTAACACGTGCATTTCAGTTATATTAAAATAAAATCGATCTCTCGAATACGTAGAATAATGTATAATAATATGTATATAATAATATAATATATATATATTAATATATTATTATTAAAATTACCAGGAAATAAAAATATATCGGTTTACGAGATCTCGACTTTTATAATCTCTGTTTCTACACGAGAGAATTTTTTCTTAGAATTTACACTGAAAATCACGATAGTCGTGGGACAATACGGTATTGAAAGAATTTTTACTATGCACATTTACTTATAAAATTAATTGAATATATTTTATATCTTATATTAATATTTTTTATATTACTTTAATACCATATTGTCCCACGATTACAATGATTTTCAGAGTAAATTCTAAGAAAAATTCTCTCTGTATAACGACGCGAATAAATATTCATACACACAAAAAATTATTAAATTCATAAATATTTATTTCAATATTGTCAACTAAATTATTTATTTGAGAGAAATAAGTAAATATTTTCCACATCAATTATTAGTTCCGAATAAATGTCTATTCTATTTGGCAGTATTGAAATAATAAATATTTATTCGAATTCGACAAATTTCTTTTTCGCAGTGTACACATTCGAAATATCTTGTGCAATATTTTATCTTATCTGTCGAGCTCCAAAGATATAGCTTTCAAAAATTGCCGATTTTATCGTTGTGTTTCACACTTCTGTACATAAAACGAAAGGACAACAGAGAGGAATTGGCTCTTTTCTTTCACTGAATGGACACGTGTAGGCGAGAGAAAGAGAGAGAGAGAGAGAGAGAGTGAAATCTTACGGACGTGACGGGCTTGCCAAGAATGATACAGATAAATGCGATGCAGGACGGGCACCGTGCGTGCATGCATTTTCGCGATGTGACTTTGCACAGCTGCCCACGCGAACGTGTCGCAGCTTCCGC